TGTTCTTCTTAATTTACATGCAGTGGATTACAAAACTGGTTTTGTTTCATTTCTTAAGTTTCTTAAATTACAACCTAGTCATACTTTTACACCTTAAAGACAACTTAGTCATATTAAATTATCATCAAGACAAAAAAAAAAAAAAAGTCGAAATTTTAAAATTTATCTCTTGAGAAAATTACACAACCTAATTAGTTGCAGTAAATGTAGTTACATTGATTTTCTAATTCGATTTTAGATGCCCATCACTAACAAATTCGATTTTGGACACCCACAAGCCCAATAACACACGTTAGCCTTGTAACAAAAACAATCTTTATTTTTTCAAAAAACAAACAACTTCTTAGTTGTTATGCAGCCGAAATTGAGCCACAATCCTCGGTTTTGTTAAATATTTAATAGGCCAGAGCTTTAAAAATGCAAGTCCTCAAAAGAAAAAAAAAAAATCACAAATTTTAGAATTAGGTTACTCGAATGTGCCTAAAAGCAATTTCTAAAGTTTTCTTAACTGAATGGCTGTTAAGTTCTTCAAATAAAATTTGGTTAAAAGTCATAATATATACTTTAAAGACACCCAAACCCTAAAATTCACAAAAGTTTAGATCCAACTCTCTTAAGAAAAAACGTATTTGAAGATTTTTTATAATTTACAAACTTAGATGACTTAAAATTGTTCAAAAATCACAAAATTATGTTTAAACGAAATAAATCATAGAATTCGTAAATTTTAGGTCTAGACCAAAGTAGTCAACCAAAATAGATAAATATTTTAAAATCAAAAGGTGCACACTGATATATTTTTATTGGATAAATTTAAAATTATGTAGTTCACCACTGAGTAGGTAGTAGGTAGTAGGTAGAGGCTTTCAGCTCAACAATTCAATAAACAGGTTTCAAATTTGATGAAGGAACTTTCTTTTTGTCTTGGAATGGGTTGGTGTTGCAGATTTCCAAATGTGTATAAATAATGTTAAACTTTTAGTAATGAATGAAAAAATGCAGATGGGACTCAATTGTGTTAAAAACAGTAGGTGAAAAGCACGGTTCCAACCTTTATGGACTTTTCTTTACGCGCTTTGAACCCTTTTGTGAACCCCTTCCTTCCAACCTTGGTTTAGGACATAATAGCAGTGTATATACATAGAAGTCACATGACGTTTGTCAAACACATACAAGAATAAATAATTGAGCAGCGGAGGCTAATGTGGACCGAGTCTTTTTCTTCCTGGCAACATCTTTTTCTCTGAAATCCAACTGGTTGTATTTTTCCAAAATGTGTGAAAAATCAGATTTTAGTAACTTTAATCAGTCAGTCAGAATTGCCAAACGCCTCCAACCGGTTGCATTTTTCTAAATCTGTAAAAAATCAAATTTTGGTAATTTTTTTATTTCTTATTTTTACCCAAATTTCTAGGGCTATCCTTGCACAATTTTAAAACCTCTTTTTACCTATATAAACTCTCTTTCTATCTTAATTAATTATGGTTTTAAAAAAATTTATTTTGCTATTGAGGGCTTTCTAAGAGTATTTTTGACATATATTCTTTGTTATTTTTAATTTACATGCAGTGGATTATAAAAGTGGTTTTGTTTCATGTCTTAAATTACAACCTAGTCATACTTTTACACCTTAAAGACAACCTAGTCATATAAAATTATCATTAAGACAAAAAAAAGTCTGTAATTTTAAAATTTATCTCTTAAGAGAATTACAACCTAGTTAGTTGCATTAAATGTAGTTACATTGATTTTCTAATTCAATTTTTGACGCCAATCACTAACAAATTCGATTTTGGACACCCACAAGCCCAATAACTCACGTTAGCCTCGTAACAAAAACAATCTTTATTTTTTCCAAAAACAAACAACTTCTTAGTTGTTATGCAGCCGAATTTGAGCCACAAACCCCGGTTTTGCTAAATATTTAATTAGGGCAGAGGTTTAAAAATGCAAGTCCTCGAAAGAACCAAAAAAAAAAAAAACACAAATTTTAGATCTAGGTTACTCGAATGTGCCTAAAAGCAATTTCTAAAGTTTTCTTACCTGAATGGATTTTAAATTCTTCATATAAAATTTGGTTAAAAGTCATAATATATACCTTAAAGACACACAAACCCTAAAATTCACAAAAGTTTAGGTCCAACTCTCTTAAGAAAAAATATTTGAAGATGTTTTAAAATTTACAAACTTAGATGACTTAAAATTGTTCAAAAATCACAAAATTATTATGTTTAAATGAAATAAATCCTAGATTTCATAAATTTTAGGTCTAGACCAAAGTAGTCAACCAAAATAGATAAATATTTTAAAATGAAAGGTGCACACTGATATATTTTTATTGGATAAATTTAAAATCATGTAGTTCACCACTAAGTAGGCAGTAGGTAGAGGCTTTCAGCTCAACAATTCAATAAACAGGTTTCAAATTTGATGAAGGAGATTTCCACGTGTTTATAAAAAATGTATAACTTTTAGTAATGAATGAAAAAATGTCGATGGGACTCAATTGTGTTAAAAAAGTTGGTGGAGGTAATTCTTGGCTTGTCTCTTTCCTTGGTGGGGCAAATGAAAAACACGTTTCCAACCATTATTGACTTTTCTTTACGCGTTTTGAACCCTTTTGTGAACCCCTTCCATCGTCTAAGTTGAGAACAATAATCTTTTGAACCCTTGAATAAAAGGTTGAATGTAAGGTAGTAATTATATATATATTGATGTGCTTTTTATCAGGTAGTTCATCGATGACAATGCACAATGATAAGCTCTTGGAGGCATTTTGGAGTGAGCCGACTCTCTCTCCCTGCAGTAAGCTGCTTTTCTCTATCTTTATGTCTTTTTGTCACCCTTAATTTCTCACCTTTTTTAAAAAAAATTATTAACAGAAAAATGAAATATGTATATAGTTGGCATGGAAATTTAATTGAATAGCAGCTTAGCTTAAGAAATTCAATCTTTATCTCATGTGTATATTAATACAGTTGAAGATGATTATCTCAACATTTACTGGCATGCTGTTGATGAGCCATGCATGAATCACGAACCTGATTTTTCTCAATGCCAAAGTTCTGTATCCCCGTCTAGGCGAACCTGATTTTTCTCAATGCCAAAGTTCTGTATCCCCGTCTAGGCTTGAAGTCTCACATAATGGGCAAGAGACGACACGGCCACATCCACCAAATCAGCAACTAACAGATGAAGTTGAAGTTGATGATATCAACGATGGAAGGAATGTTAATGCAAATTCAATCACTTATGAGGAGCTCGAAAAACATTTCGGGAAGAAACTTGAAGATGTTGCTAAGATTATTGGTGGTGAGCTTATACACTAATTGAAATTGTTGTTTGTAATCTGCTCGATTTTCTACTTTTGAGTTTCTTCTAATAGAAATAATAGTTTATTCTTTTGCACTTGCAAATTATATGAGTTTTTGTTATTGAATTTTTATTTTTGTAGTAAGCCGATCTACATTTAAGCGTATATGCCGAGACAATAAAATTGATCGCTGGCCGCGGAGCAAGAGAAAAAAGGTTGAAAGCTCTCCCTCTAGACGAGAACCTCCATGTACTGATTTGCCTACTAAGAAACTCGTGGCTACTGACGCTCGCATGACTCCACTGGTAAGACCACCACCAGAAGTAAGGATGATGACTATAAAGGCAACCTATGGAGATGATATGATAAAGTTTCAATTACCTTCTTCATCAAGAATGGTGGTGTTAGAAGAGGAAGTATCCGAGAGCTTGAAATTAAATGTTGGAACTTATAAGATCAAATATATAGATGATGCTGGCGATCGGATTTTAATAACCCGTGACAAGGACTTGCAGTATTGTATGAGTACTTCCAATTCATTGGCCATGGAAACAATCAAAATATTCATTGAGCCAATTACCAAAATATCTCCTTCCAGCTGACTACTGTTGCATGTATGTTCCTAACCATGTGTTGATACCAAGTAATCAAATTATTCTTCACTGTGTATTTATCTAATTTTTTCACCAAGAAATATATATCAGTAGTTTATAGAGTCCTAACTTCCCACTTTGTTCTCTAGTATTGTTGGATCTACTACTTGTACAATTTTGTATTTCAAAGTTTGCAAACATTTCAGATTCTAAAAAAAATATTTTTTATTTTTTTTATTTTTGGAAGGTCATTTCAGATTCTAAATTAATTTTTTCATTTGATGAGGTAATTAGTTGTTACAGATATACAATTTCTTAGTTGTTTTGCAACCAAAATTGAGCCACAAAACTCGGTTTTCTTACAGATTATTTCAAAAGCCAGAGGTTGAGAACTGCAAGTTTTCATAGAAGCTAATAAAGCATTGGAATTCTTAAATTCTAAAAATCATAAAATCATAAAAGGCTTTCCTAAAAAATTAACTCTAAAAAAAAAACATAAATTCTAGGTCTAGGTACTTGAAAGTGCCTAAAAAGCAATTTCTCACGTTTTCTTAAATCAATCGATTTTAAGTTCTTCAAATAAAAATTGGTTAAAAGTCAGAAAATACACTTTAAAGATACACAAACCTAAAATTCACAAAATTTTATGTCCAATTCTCTTAAGAAATAATATTTGAAGATGTTTTAAAATCCACAAACCTTGGATCACATAAAATTGTTTAATATGTTGTCTTTTTTTGGGTACTCTGTTTTGGTTCATCACTCACCAATTTTGGGTTCTCTTTGGACTCTGTGATGTACTATGAAAATTGGAGGTCTATTATGCTGACTGCAATGCAAATTGAGACATTCTGTCGAAATTTGAGTTGAATTGTCATTATCGGTGTCATTCGCAGGTTGAGAATGGGTTACTGACCCATTCATACACAACCCATGCAAAACCCGCTCAAACCCACCCAATTGCCACCCCTAGTCTTGCCCCATCAAGCCCCACGATGACAACGACGACAACCATGCTTAAAATGCAGATGACCTTCATTGGAGCCTTCATTTCTCTATCCCAATAGACAAATAAGGTGGCTGTGATTCTCATGTTAGAAACAATTCATGATTTACCACTAAAAACACCCACATTTTTACCATAACTTTATTCATGCCTCCTAAAAATCGTCTTCATCCTTTAGCCAACAGAAATTGTCCTGATATTTTTTTTTACGAGAGAACATACAAATAACACACAGTAAGCACTTTTCTGACATTATACAAGAATTTGAAACTTGACAGATGAAGATGACAATGGTAAGCAGAAACCCCCTTATTAGTAAGGTTGCTAAGCAGGTATAAGCTATACCAGCAAGGTGACAAACCTAGAATTCAACCCATACCAGGAAACCCCACAGTATCAGTCTTATTCCAAGGACATTACCAAGTTCTAGACACAAAGAATGAAGATACCATTACCGTAACCTTCACTGAGAAGGAGAAGATTCTGCAGGAAGAAACTTGAGTGAAATACTATTAACACAATGACGTTCATTCGTTGGAGTAGGGAACCCTTCTCCTTTAAATACATGACCTAGATGCCCACCACAAGCGGCACATGTAATTTCAATCCTCATTCCATCTGGGTCCACCTGAGAGCACAAAAGAATGTCATTAACTATCAAGCAAAATTATACAACAAGGTACTTTTAAGGTGAGATAAAGAAGTTGGACAAGTAAAATAGAAAAGTATGCTCACGGTGCGATTTATTGCTCCGGGAAGACCCTCATAGAAAGCTGGCCAACCACAACCGGAGTTAAATTTAGTAGTGGACCTGTAGAGAGGAGTACCGCATCCTGCACAGTTGTAGACTCCCTCACCAAAGAACTTGTCATACTCTCCCGTGCCTGGGTACCTGTACATACAGCAAATTATATATAACCAGGTAAGAATCGACAAGGTTTGGCAATTTCAGCAAGATTTATTTAGAACAAAAAAGGATTTGATCCATCTCATTTTAATCTCCAAGGCATCAAACAAAGATGCAACAAACATTTAAATCTTACAATGGCCAATTCAACCCAACCACCGTAAGATTCCACATTGTTCATTTCTTTTCTTTACTTCCTCCGGGATGAAACAGCGCTTCATATTATGCTGTAACAGTATGAGATAACAACTACAGTTGTAAAACAAATGTTCTAGTAATAATAGAAGAGTATATGTGGATGATTGAGATTGCAGTCCTATCACATCCAGCAGTGGAGCGTTTTTTTCTAGACATGGAGAGAAAAGGTAAGTGGGGAACTTTATCTCTTCCCTCCCAGCCGAGGACGGCGCTCTGCGTTCTATCTAGGTTCCACTCTTACATATGCCCCACCTCACATAGAAGGAGGACCTCTTCAATAGAAGAACCAGTGTGAGTGGGAAGGAATTGCATCATTCATTCATCGGATAGTTGGTACATTCATTCCAGAGGATACATTTTATCCAACTTCCTTTTTCAGTTTTTTGGCTATCTTCTCACATCTCTGAAGACAAATAATTAGCTAAATTTCAAATTTTCATCCTTTACATCAAAGAGGGCAATGGAAGGAAGGAAGCAGAGCGGAGAGACAAAGAATGGCCTTACCTATTTAGTCTACCATGAACTTATATTTTAGGGTCTAACTCAGTTATTACTGGGAGAAATTTGTTTACCTCTAGCTGCTTAGACGAAAGTTTGGCAAGGGAGGTATCATGCTGTCTTCCCATACACATCGTTGCCTGTATATGTCATGGCACTGTTTTATGCTTATCAGTATATTCAAGCTGTATAACTTCAATGGAAGCTATAAAGGGGGGAAAAAAAAAAAAAAATGGAAGCTATCAAGTCACCGAAATATATCAGCACATCAACGCATTTAATGCTTCATTCTTCTTTTAACTTTTATTTAAAAATAAATGGTCTAGACTCGGGACTCTTGTTCCTGAACTGATAATCTCTACTCACATCGTCAGAAAATCCAGTAGGAGCTCTTAAATTGGATTTCACATACAACCTCCACTTTTTCCTTCCTCCTCTAGCCGCTTGGTATCCAAATTCTTCCCTATATGTAACATATCACGTCAGACATTATGTACTTTCACTCATAGAACAAAGGAAGAAATCAAATTTCTTAATCCAATATGAACTCATTGTAGGCATGACCTGAGGTGGCGTTTCAGTAACTTATCATGTGATTTCTAGCAATACTGAAGATATCTTGATGGTATATCAGATCCTATTGATTTATTGCATAATTCCTACAATTTTTCACAAGATTGTCGGTGACATGCTGAAAACCTCAATAAAAAACATATATTCAACTCAAACCACATCCATTTTCAGAATGCATAGATAAAAAGGAGAAAGAAGGTGGGCGGTGGAAGACTCAAAACCCTAGTCTATAAAGAAATGACAAAGCATCCACCTATATCACACAGGCTCTATACATGTGGGTATGTGCCTAAGCATCAGATTTTCAAATGCCAAAAACCCAAGGACAGGAGAGAACAATTAAATATTCATATTCTTTTAATATTCATCTTTTCTGAGTAAAATGGTATATTACGTAACATATATAGTTTTCAAAAGAAACATAATACCTAATATTGTCTTATGACCAATTACATAATGAACTTGAATTACCTGACATGTCAAATCTATATAACCCATTCTCTATATTCAGTGTCATCGATCTAAACACAGAAACCTTGTGCATTTAAAAGAGGTCATGCAATATAGTCCATCTCTTGAGCCAGTAACTAAACTATGTTCGACTTCATCATCATCATCCTTGCCTTAATCACACATATGAATTCTCTCTTTCCAAATTTTCTATTACATGGCAATTCACTTACTATATTTAACTTTTTCAGAACATTTTTAATAACCTCATCCCATGTTATTTTTGGCCTCCCTCTCTGTCTCTTCCCTTCTATTACAACTATTTTCCTCGTTTGACCGGCGCGTCACTAGGTCTCCGATGTATATGACCAAATCATCCAAGTCTACTTTCTCAATTTTTCTCACCAATGGGAGCTACACCTAATTTTCCTCACACACTTTCATTAGTGATCCTATCTCTTCTAGTCACTCCACTCATCCATCTTAACATTCTCATTTCAACTACATAAAGGCGTGGTTCTTGTTTCTTTTTTAGGCCCCAACATTTCGCTCCATACAACATAGTTGGTCTAATAACGATCGTATAGAATTTTCCTTTTAGCTTATGAGTCATTCTTTTATCATATAAAATCCCACTAGCGTGTCTCCATTTTGTCCTCCCCACCCCAATTCTACTAGTTTCATCACTATCTCTCCATCCATTTATATTATCAATTCTAGATACCAAAAGTGGTAGTTTTGAGTAATCCTTTTGTTTTGAAGTGCTATCATTATATTATTAATATTCCAATCTTTATTTAATTTGCATTCCTTAACTAGGTTTTAGTTTGACTAATTATCAACCCTTTCGATTCTACAACAATTCTCCACATTTCTAGTTTTATTGCTAAATTCTCCTTAGAGATATCCAAAAGCACGGTATCATAGGCAAACTGAGGGGGGGGGGGGGGGTGGGGGGGGAGATATCATCCGCAAACATCATACACCATGGAATCTCATTTTGGAATTCTTTTGTTATTTCATCTAAAGATTATCGCAAATGGATATGGGCTTTGTACCGATCCTTGGTGCAATTCTAAGTTTATGGAAAGCTCATTAGTGAGTTTTCCATAACTATGTTTAACTTACAACGTATTAATTGGTAATATAGTCTTAGGTAATTTTTTTTTTTTTCCCTAGTTTAGTCTTAGGTAATTTTTCTTAGTTTTGTCCTAAAGCGTCTATCTTTTCAGGTGGCTATGGCATAGAATTCATATTTATTCTTCAGATGCAGGTTCAGAGGTGTACTACTCTGCCTTCGATTGTTTTTCTTTAATTTCCTATGGAAGATGTTGTTGTTTGCGAGGTGGCCAATCATGGGGTAGAGATCAAGTTATTTCTGGAAGCCCCAGCTGAAGCAATGGGCTTCATTCTCCAAACATGCTGTCATGTTATTGAGAGAGAGAGAGGGGCCAATATGCGAGTAATTTAATCACTTCCAATGTCGCAAGGGTGGAGCCCAGAAGAAAATATTCCATTCAATATGGAAGATTGAAAAGAACCAGAAGTAGGAGGGCAACAAGCTTATACTTATGTTCTGTTTCGTACAAAAACATTGAAAGGGAATGTTGGAGGGCTAGAGAAAGGAGGGTGTGTTTTTGTCGTGTTGTTTTGTTGAGTAGGACGAAAACAAGGAAGGAAGGGGCCCAATTTGATCGCTATTCCATTCCAAAATTAAAAAGAAGGCTTTTTAGAAGGATATAGAGGTAAAAAAAAAAACCAAAAGATGCTTCCTTCCTCCTTCCTCCTTCCTCCTTCCTCCTTCCTCCTTTCCTCCCCTTTTGGAAGGATTAAGACAGATCAGGAGTGATGCGGCTATCCTCCTCCCTCCTTTCCCACTCCTCTTCTTCTCTCTCATGCAAAAGTAACAAATTAAGTTCCAATCCTTGCAAGCTTGTTTGGGTTTCGAGTCTATTTGTACTTCCACTCTTTGGACAGGGTTTGAGGTCTGGTATCTTACTTGGGGAAGGTAAGAAAGTAATTGAAAGGCTTCCATCCATCATCATCATTCCCCTCTTACCCCTTCTTCAACCAATTTTCCCTACCCGAAGCGCCTCCCAGAAGTAATATGCATAACAAACAAAGATGACTCTCACTGCCAACCAACAAACTTACATTCACACACATTGTTTCTCCAAAGAGTGAGCCACCAATCCGAATGACAAACCATCAGCAATTGAGTTTCATCAAAGCTTGAAAGATAAAGATGGAAAAAAAAAGGAAACATAGTAATGAATAACAAATAAACCACCTACAAACAAACTTATACTTAAAAAATGTTTCTCAAATAGACAAGTCATGAATCCAATAGTCAACAATTATTAACAAAGGTGATCAACAAAAATCTGAAGGAAGAAACTCAGACACAAACTATTTGATTTAAGAAAGAACAGTACAAATAGAACAAACCCATTATTTGCAGTAATCCAATCATAAATTATGTCGCAAAGCAAACCAAAGCCTTATATATATACAAACAAACAAATATAGACATATATATACATATACATATACACAAGCATACTCTGTTCCTTTCTGCCTCAGAATTCGAAACTGCTCGGGAGAGAGAACCGCACGCCAATCCTCATCTGATTTCTGAACCGGACCAGATGCGGCCATAGCTACAATCCCACCTCTGAAGCTTCTCTTACTCCGGAGAGACAACCCACCAAACCCAGATGATGAAATTTTGTGATTGATGGGTTTTGAGGTCTGGTGTATGAATTGGGTTTTGCAGAGACTGTTGGGTACTGAAATTGCCAATAATCGAGAGACGGGGGTGGGATTGAAAATTAGGGTTCTACAAGAAGTGAATGGTGAGATTTTGAAAATCTGAGAGCCCATCTCAGATAAACTATTGAATTGTTTATAGTGTGGAGACCAATTCAATCGCCAGATAATGTTGTCACCAACTCATCCTCCGTGGACGGTTCGTGGCTCTACTTCTATCTTCTTGTTAACATTTTAACTAATACATCTAACTTTTACCTCTCAATAGTTTTCTACGTTTTTTTTTTCCTTTCGTTTTTCTCAATTTCATTTTCTTTTTTCATTTCATTTTATTTTGTTTTTTTTTTGGTTTTTTTTTTTTTTTTGGCATGAATGGAAGTGTACAAAAGATAAAAGAGATACTCAAAAAGAGAATGTGTCACTCTTTCATTTATTTTTTTTTGGTAAAGTGCAACCCAAGAAAATTAACGAGACATTCTAGTTTTGATGAAGAATTTTAATTTTAATTTTATTTTACTTTATTTTATAGAAATTAAAATCCCTCACTCCATAACACAAATAAATATTCGCAAAGTTTCTATGAAAAGTAATATTGTCACTTCACTTTTTTCCCTCCTTTTTTGTCCACTTTTCCTCCCTTTTTTTTTTTTTTTTTGTTGATAAATACGTATATAGAATCATAGATACAAATATTCCTCATACATTCATTGTGTGTTCAAAACTCGACATTTTTACCTGGAAATTCTTAATAAAACAAATAAATTTCGAGAGACCTTTTTTTAAAAAAATTTAACTACTTAATAAATAATTTAAATTATTGGAGACGCACCAACTTGGAAAAGCTGCTCTCTGATGGATTTCATGAGCAAATAATCTTTCAAAATTTACCAGTTAAATAAAAATAAATAAATAAAAGAATCATACCAGTTAAATAAAAATAAATAAATAAAAGAATCATTCGAAGCAAGTTAATCTCCCCCAAATTCATCAAAATTAACCAATATCTACACATTTTTTAATAATTTATCAACCTATCTGCAACTTCTCATAAAAAAAGTAGATTTTTCAAATTTGAAACCCCAAATTGAAGTCTCTCCAATTGAGAACAAATGACAATTATATCCACCTATCTCAATTTCCAACCACAACACACCCACATAAATTTCTCTCACCCTTCATTTGCTTTGTGAAAACCCCATCATTTTCTTCAAATTAGGGAAAAACAGTGAAGAACTCAAAGATGGGTTGTCTTCAACCAAGTGTTCCTCAACCATATCTTTGACAGACCTAGCAGACAATGGATGAAAATTGACACCCCAATCCGAAACAAACCCTTTGGCCAAAACCCACTTGTCTTCTTCACTCATCTTCTTCCATGTCGTCTTCACTTCCTCAGAATTCGAACCCATGTACTGACACAGCTCTGTGAACAAGATTTGTCTGCTCTTCTTCATGGCCTCCTCTCTCTGCACCAAATGGGTGCTCATCTTTTCAATTTCTGTGGCCAAATCTGATGCCAGCTCTGCATCACTGACGCTGTTGGCGCATGAGATTTGGATCTTGGGGGTGTGGGTTTGGAGAGTTGTGGAGGGGAAAGGATGATGGGTTTGGGATTTTAGGGTTTGTGAGGGGATTTCGGGGGTGAGGATATGAACCCTTAGCGCCATTTGAGGTTTTTGTTGATGGGTTGGTGGAGGTTTTTGGGGAAATTGAGGTTTTGGTCTGGTTGGAATGTTCGGATTGAGAGTGAACATTATTAGGTAAAGAGAGTTCCTTTGTTTAGGGTTTGATGGGTTGGTTGAGGTTGAAATTGAGGTTTTGATCTGGTTGGAATGTTCAGATTGAGAGAACATTATTAGGTACACAATGAGTTTGTTTAGGGTTTGATGGTCATTCTTTATGGTTTTATGTCCTTTTGGGGTCTTGGCGTAATTTTTTATTGTTTTTTTTTTTTCAAATCTTGAGTTTAATTATTATTATAGATATATATATATATATATCATTGCAAAGGCACAAAGCCAAATCAAAACCGCAGTATAGAAGCAAAAAAGCAAGTTAAAAACGACATACAGATCTTAAAGTAAAATAAAAATAATAATAACAAAGAATAGGCGCTAAATTTGTGAAGAAACGAGAGTCAAAGCTCTATAACAAAAATCATGTAGTAACATGAGTGATCCAAAGGTTTAACAAATCCAAAATTAATTGGGTTGACTTCTCACCTTTATATATAAACAACCCATTTGGATAGTAACACTAGAGCTACATTTTTTAAAAATAAAAAACAAAAACAAATACAAAAAAATCAGGACATCATTTTATAAATTGTTATTCAATGAATGCGTTAATGTAAATCGATAATAAGTTAAGAGGATTCTAATTTATCTGGGTTCATTTTTACTAAATTTAATTTATATATTTGGTGAACATTACTGTGCCACATAAAAATTGTTTGTTATTCAAACGTAAATCGATAATAAGTGAAGGGGATTCTAACTAAGTTTTACTAAAATCAATGTGTATATTTAGTGAACAATATTGTGCCACATGATAATTGATTGTTATTTACTAAATGCACTAACAAAAATTACTCGTAGTAATTAGTGAAGAGATCCTAATTCATCTGAATTCGTTTTTACTAAATGATTTGAATTATACAAGAATGAATGGTTTTGTAAAAATGTCATTTGGGTTTTATGATTAGTTAATGACACAATGTGCTTTTTCAAATTAAATTCCCAAGGATAAATTAAAGGAACTTTTTTTCTTTGTAAAATTAAATTGCGATAAAAAAAATTCTCGATAAATTAATGCTTACAAAATTGACTAAAAATCGAAAGTTTGCGTTTTAGAAATTACTTTGTTGAATAAAGGTGTTGAGATTGCCTCTGCAAACACTTGAATTTGCATGTCCTTATCAATACACAGCTCACTAGCTCGTTCTCTTATGTTGCCACTTTTGGATCCAAAAATAAGTTAAATAAAATAAAATAAAATAAAAAAATCTATAGAAATTACAAACAAAGGCATTAGAAAAGGATAAAAAAATCACATTGAAATGGGCCTCCCTAAAATTGAATATTCAAATCAGGTTTAAGTTTTGAATTGGACTTCTCCATTCATTTCAAATGCTTTGTAATATGAACATTTTAATTTAAAATTAAAACTTACAAATTTTACTTAGAATAAATATAGTAAACTTTTCTCCTACAAAAACAAAGAAAGACCCAAACTATCATATAACGCCATATATTTTTTACCACTTATTTCATTTTTGTAAATCACAATCCCACAAGAATCAAAATCACAATCACACAAGAATCCGACTGCATAAAATGAAATGACCAGAAGTTCACTGCTTCATTTTTACAAGTTCATGTATTAATCCAACAAAGAAAGAAAAAACAAGAGTAATCTATAACTTTAAGGGGAAACAATATCACTAAAAACCCCTGCAATAACTCATCCAAAGTGGAGACTTGAAATGTACTGTATTCATGTGGACAAATAAATAAATAAAATTATAGTCAAAGCAGTTACAGTTAACAGCATAGTTCTCAACAAGTTCGGAAAAGAAGAAGAACGAAAGTTGGGGAAACAAAAAACCAAAAAAAAATGATGATTTATTCTCAAAAATTGAAGTTTCAACTTGAAACCTTGAGTCATTCCAATGCTAGCTCACCTTCCACCGACCTTTTCTGCATCCCTAGCCAACACACTAATACACACACACACAGAAGAAGAAGAAGAAACAGATCCAGCATAATAATTATAAATAAGGTCAACCTCCCCTGAAAGCATACTAGCATTCAAATTGACAGGGAAACCTGACTCGTGGGACTATGCTTGTACCCGTGCAATAACCAACTTCTCACATTCTGATCTGATCTGTGAACTGAGAGTGACTGCTGAACAATTCGCTGTTGGCATTCGTTGGAATTGGCAAGTTGGAAATCTCAATCGAACTTGATAGTGTTCATTTCACCATTCATCACCCCATTTCCGAGCCATAAAGGATCAGTTGTGACAGAATATCAACCCACGTGTCAGGAACACCTGGTAGGCACCAGTGCATACAGTCCTGACCCCAAGTTGCCACTGCATCCTTCTTTCCCAACCAAATTGCAGGATGAGCATCTGCTCTGAACTCACTCAAATGAGTTAGATCAAGTAATCGGATATCTGTGCCTTGTAGTGCTTCTTCAATAAGATGATTCAATTGTCTTGCTTCTTTGTTCACCCCATTATTGCTGGGATCAAACCACCTGTCAAGCTGTCCAGGTATCAGTGTTGATTTTTCTCACTAAAAACAGCAGTAATCTCCTCTAAAGAAAAAGATTTAAGTTTTGAGGAATTTTGAAAATCAATTTTTTTCTTCCCCGATTTTGAACCATGCGAAAAATTACTGATTGAGAAAAAAAAATCCGCAAATTCCAATGAAATTTCAGAGCATCTTAGAAGGATGGTCATATTTCCATAGCATTCAAAGAAATTCAAAGCATCCGAGTACAAGATTTTTCTGGCAGAAACATTTCACATTTTCAAAATTTTAGGATAAAACTATCAATAATGCCCAGGATTGAAGGTGATATCAATATAAAAACTCGGGAGGAGGAAAGGAAAGCCATCATCTGTTTATACCTGGACTTTCTCGAGGGGTTCATTGGACAAGCAACTACCATTTTGATTCCACTCGCCACCATAAAAATGTCTAGGTGATTGCAACCGCCAGAACTTGAGTGTCTTCCTGGGAAATTCTTTTTGTATGTAGGAAACCATATTCTCCAGAACAACTCTAAGTCCATCCAACATCTCCAAGGGAGGATGTATTGGTTGCCCTTCCTTATAGAAAACAAGAGGAGTCTCTTTTGGGAACTTATCATAGCCCCACCTAGTGGAAAGTAATAAGCAAGTAAATTATTAAATTCACGATCTGTTTCAGACATCAGCAAATGTAAAAAAGAGGCCACAGTATGCAGAGCACCTCATCCAACAGTCAAAACTGCCGATGTAAAATAAAACTACCTATGGATTAAGTTTGTGATATGCATGTCACCACCAGGTGGACCAGTCTGATTTTCATTTCCCCTGCCTTTCCATTTTTTATTTTATTTTATTTTTTGTCACTGGTCAACCTATATGTGTCTGCTTTGCAGAGAAAGTGCTCGAATAAATGAAAATTACTCTTTACTTTTATATTGGGTCGTTAATAAGGAGCAGCAATAATCCATTATATTTTGAGCCAGGGACCTCAATTTTAAAGTTCAAGCCTGTCAACAAGATAGACTCCATCTACCTTTCAAGGGAGATAAATGTACCAATGCCCAATACAGCTATTTAACACAGCAAACAAATAATAAGCAAAGTTTATAATGACAACAGAGAAGGCAAACAGTCTGATCCCCGAGCACTAGCAGTATTCCATAACAAGATCCACTTTTTATGTGATTGAGCAAATAAGAATTTTTAGAATTTCTATTAATGTGCATATAATATAAATAAATAAATAATCAAAAACTCGAAGATATTAGTTTATTAAACCAATAAGCAAAATAAGAAGGGGAGATTACCAATGGCCAGTATTGAAAATAAGGACATCGTAGAAATCAGATATGTCGGCCCAATCATCTGCCGGGAGATCAACATCTACTCGATATATTCCCTTCAATCCATCTTGAGCAGAGAGCGCTGATTGTTTTGGCTGCCACCTTTATTTAATCAGCTATGAGCAAATGAGGTTTTTATATCCAAAAAAAAGATGAAAACATCAACTAGCACTCCGAAATTGAAGTTACACTATGCACAAGCTATTCAACCCTCAACAAAATCCCATCAAGATTAAGGTAAAAACATACTTAAATTGAATATAGCGAAAATAAAGTATTTTAAATTTTGATATCAAATCCAACTCGTTTAGTCATAGAACTATATGGACATTACTTTAAATTGAAGTTCCTCTGGTCCTGGTGGTTTAGCAAATAAGCGAACGATAATATGTTTGAACCAACAATACATCATCAAAGTATAGTAGGATTGCAAAATTGCTGATGATACAAACCAACTCAGTATTTTTTTCTTTAATAGAATTGCAACTACTTCCTTGAAACTTCTAATGCAGTTGACAAAATAAATTACAAGCTCTTGACTGAACAGAAAAATCACCATAAGACAAGATGGAAAAGAGTAGCGATAAGAAGTTGCAAAACTAATTTGGCATAGTATGATAAGAACGGTAACACTGATTCCAGCACAACTTGTATCCCAATACAAATTCTCTCAATATCTTCAATCTAGCTCTCTTTACGAGCCACAAGAACCCAGTTTCAGCTTTTGTGGCAGCAGAAAACAGATGACAAAGGACAGCAATTAAGATTAAGTTGGCAACTGTCTCAATGGTCAGGACCACCATAACAAGAAACCAACACCGTGTCTTCATAACAATTACCACAGAAAACTTAATGCAGTTATCAATGAATAAAATAAACCAACACACTGCACTTTTACCATACCCTTTTGGAAATAAACAGACCAAACCAGATCGCAAATCCACAAGGTAACGGAGAACCATGCTTGGAACTATTCTGCAGCCAATAAATCAGAGGTAGCTCTCTTAAGTGGATGCACATGACACTTTCTGTAGGTTTCTCCAAATTTAGCATTTACATGTAATAAATGCAAATATCAATGGGTGTCCGTGTATTTTTTTTTACTCAACATATGTAAAAGTAAATTTCTCTCCATCAAAACAGTAAACCAAAAGATAAGCAGTGCTTTGAGGACAGGTTGGGATTTCAGGGCGGTCGAACAAAATCTTCTCCAGTGTATTGGAGTCTCCAATGCACTGGAGATGGGCAACATATCTCTACCATCAGTATGGGGTCCACTGCAAGGTGATCTACACTGTCAGTGCAGTGGACGCTGCAGCGCGTTGGAGAGGATTTTGGTCCCTACCGTAGCACTATAGCATTACTCTTTGACCCATAGGAATTCTTATGCTCGATCATAAGTACTCTTCAATCTCCATCCTTCTATCAACACCATTCTCTCTCTCTCTCACTCTCTTGCATTGCAGTGGTATGTTTCTAGTTCTATGATCTCTCTCTCGCGCGTGCGCGGGTGCACATTGCAGTGGTATGTTCTAGTTCTATGATCGCATTGAATTGGCATGTTTCTAGTTTTATGATTGGATACACATGAATATAGCACCATTAGCTTTGCTTTTCTTCATAACCTGCTTTGCACTTATTCGTTTCTAGATCTATAAATTATCATCCTTCCATAGTATTACATATACCGTATGATTAATTACATATGGGATCAGGTATCATTAGATACTGTGTTCCAAAACATTTCAATGCATTTTTTCCTAGTCTATGCCGAGTCATCATCAATAAAGAGACAACAAATTCATTCTTGAAATCCCAGAAAAAATAATTATGAAAAAAAAAAAAAAAAAAGAAATCCCAAAAATAATCAATACTGAAAATGTGTACGAGAAAGATTATTGAAAGAGACAAATAGAATCAATTATAATACTTCAAAAAAGGACTATAGCAATTCATCTCAATTTCATGAAAACATAAAATCAATACCCACAATACTCCAACTTTATATATTAACTAATTTTTTACCACATATAACATCACTACAGATTTGTATTTCTGTTCCGCTCCGCCATTTCAACTATTTCAAGTATGAAAATAAATGATTAATCCGGCTGCTAGGTCCTTCAATTGAATATACAATTGTGAAAAACCCAAAACAAAGCATCCTATGCATGCAAATTCCCCAACCTCCTTTAGTGATGTTAATGGAATTTTACTTTTACTTGAACAAAATTTAAACTTACATAAACCTTTATATGTAAATATATATTAAATACAGAAACTTCACACACAATTTCACCATATAGCACATAAATTGAAAAGGAAAACACTACATAATGCATAAAAATAGAGAGAGAAATAAATTCTATCAGCATTGCAAGATAAATCCATAAATTCTTACTCGTATTTGGAGAGCAAAACGGCTCGATGATACGCAACTGTGACATTGAATTTAGGGAAATAAGCTCCTCTCCAAGCCCCCTTCCTCTTCCACTTCTTTGCACCTGCATCAGCAACCCTAAGAATACAAAGAACAGACACCAAGAAGTTCTCACTCAGTGAGTCCCCAACAAACCCAATTCTCTTGTTCCTCATCAGATTCATAAACCCTAACGGATCGATCCTTTGCAATTCACAATTTTCAGGGACCCATTTCCAAGAATTGATCCGACCCATGTTCTCTCTCTTGTTTCTCAAACAGTTCCAGGCGTTTCGGTGAAATGGGCAGGTCTCATCGTACATGGGTCTGCGATTGGGGTCTAAGATCCAATGCCCATTGAAGAGATTGCAAGTAGGTGTAATGGGAATGTAGTGTTTCGAAGGTAGTGGTTTGGTCGAAGATGGTGTGTAGAGAGGGAGGAGGGTTGAGTAAAGGAATAGAAGTAAGAAGGTTGGCAAGATCAGCCGTGTGAAGAGTGCTGAGGCTAGCTTTGGAGCCATTGTTAATCATATGTCCTATAATGAAGTTGTATAGTATAAATTGTGCAGCACAGAGAGAGACTTACAGAGTAACAAAAAGTAAAAGCAAAATAAAAATTGCGTGAAAGAGTTTATGTTGCATGTTAGCATCACTCTAATTGCTCTCGTGCGGCACCAAACGTTGCTTCTACCATTGCAAGCGCTTGGTCAGTCTAACTCTTATACACACCTTAACCAACACACTCCCCTCGTGCACTTACTAGTGTTGTAGTGGCTCTCGCCCTCTCCTCATTTGGCTTACACGCTCACACACACTAAGACACTTAAATTGGCAAGGAAACAGCACTTCTATTATTTCAAAGAATGCTTTGTACAAGGTTAGCACTTAAACTCTCTACAAGACTCACTCCAGGACTTGATGGCTATAAAATAAAGTCCCACTCCTATTTACAAGCATCCCCATCCCTAATGGACGGCTAGGATGCATTCTAACTGATGGTGGAGATCGATTCTCTAGAATCTTTTCCCACTTTATTCACACTTCCATATATATCTACAAGTATTTACAACATTCTAGAACTCTCTATACTTTACCACACAATTCTGAAGAACTCTATAACCTTCCACACACTTCTACACATTTCTACGTATATCTAGAATCTTCTACACAACTCTAGACTACTCCGGAAGACTCTAGAAACTCCCATGCCATGCAGTCGCCATGCATCGTCCTACTCAGCGCTTGCATGTCACCTGTGTGACGTAACCTCCATAGGCAGGACGTGACAATGTGGTACACTAGATCTTTTGTTTGATATAAAATTTGGAGTGAGTATGACTTTTCTTTATCTTTTATTTTTTAGGAAATTAATGACTAATTTCTTTAAATAAAAATTCATTCTTCTATGAAATGGTCATTTTTTTCATGTACATTTTTTAACAAAATCAAGTTGTCAAAATAAATAAATAAATCTTAAACTTATGGAATGACAATTTCATTTCAAATTATAATTTTTTAAAAAATAAAGTTTCCAAAAAAACCTCCATAAACTTATGTAATGGTCATTTTTTGCCAAGTAAATTTTTTAACAAAATCAAGTGTAAAAAAACACCACATATTTTAAGTCCAAAATCACCACCGTCATTGTCACCACCATTGCCAACTCCACACATTCCACCACCATCACTGCCACCACCACCACCACTGTTATCGTCTTCCACCTATGCCACCACACTGCCGGTATCACCATCATTGCCTCCACCACCTTCTGCCTTCATTACCTTTCACAATTGCCGCCACCTTCATGCTGATGTGTTCAGTTTATTACCACTCGCAATAGCACGAATTTTTATAGGATAGTACTATATAGAGGGTATTGATCCCACAGGGAGATGAGTGTTCTTTACTTTGTTTTTAACTAATCAAATTTACTTCTTGGTTTACAGGTTACTGTTGAATTGATTGATTGGTTATCACGAGCATAAAATAAAATTAAACTGAATTTAAATTAAAAAGATCAAAGAGATAAAAAGTCTAAGGGCTTTAACTTCACCACAACCTTCATACTATGGTTAATTGTTCAACTCTTGGGATTTAACAATTTATATTTCAAATGAATTGAACTCAATAGCATTCGTTCAATTCGATTTTAAATAAAGATGTTTTATAAATTTAGTTAACTATAACCTATATGCGGTTAGCATGGACTATCCACCTACCTACTTTAACTAATTTTGCAAACAATCCATATTTCATAAGCATAGACTATGAAAACGTTCATTTATAAAAAACATTGGAACACCATTACATGATCTCCATTCTTATGTCCGACAGGGTTCTGCAAGATACTGTCCAATAAGAATGAGGTGAGAATAGTCTAAGAACAGTTATATCTAAGACAAGTTAATAACTTTTTAGAAACTATTTTAAACTTTGAAATCCAATTGAGTTGTCTCAATTGCTCATAGTCATGTAATCAGAAATATAATATGTTCAAAATATCCCAAAGTTAAAACAATCAAATCATAGTATTTAGATTGGGTTACATCAGTGCCCTAAGAGAGGAATTAGATACTCATGACGATGCAAAATATCATCTATGTTGTTGTCGTCTTCATCGTCACGAACGGCACTTCTCTTCTCAGGATCTTCACCTTCTAAGGTTCTGAAAACCCTAAAAGCCGCCACCACAATATCAGCCTTCTGAATAATACAAGAAAAAAGAACGTCTTCTATCAAGGCCTGTGGCTTCTTTTATAGAAGAAATAAGGGTTTGGTGGGCTTTTAGGTCTTCTGGCCCATCTGGAATGATTTAAGACTTAGAAAAGAATAATCCCCATAACTTGTAAATCCAATCTATTATGGAAAGCTTGAGCTTAAGAAGTAGAGCTTGAGCTTAAGAAGTAGAGCTCGAGATTTTTGGAACAGGCTCGAGCTTTAGGAACAAAGTTCGAGCTTTCTTAAAATATGGCTCGAGCTTCAAAGGATGGTGCTCAATCTTCATTTTTATGCTTAGTCAAATTTCTTCAACTATTTTCCGAAGCGTCTTTTCCATCTATACTTAGAATATTTTGGGGTTTTTTCTTTTAACATTTCTCGATCCTAACTTCATAGGGCTCGAGCTTTAGGTACAAAGTTCGAGTTTTTGGGGCTCAGGGCTCGAGCTCTGAATGACAGTGCTCGATCTTTGAGGTCTAGCACGAGGCCTTGGGAGCTTGGCTTTCTTTAAAATCAACTCTTCTAATTCCAACGCCTCATGCTCAAGCTTGAAAGTAAAGGCTCGAGCACCCTTGGGTAAGGCTCGAGCACCACTATGTAGGGCTCGAGCTCTGGAGGTACAAGGCTCGAGCTTTAATGCCTGCTTGTTGATTTTTCTTCTTATTCTTGCAGGGCTCGAGCCTCAAAACTTAGGCTTGAGCTTTAGTACTTGGATTCTTTCAAACTTTACTATTTAAGCTCTAGGCTTACTTTGAATGACCTGCAACGACTCTGTAAGCTTCGATATCAATCTTTCATCATAAAGTCTCGGTTTTAACCATTTCTCTGGGAAAGTACCTGTAAACACACAATAAACATAAATCAGTCTAACAATGGATAGAAGTATTACTTTAGGTCTTAACATACGTATATTTAGGGACTCGAATATGCAATAATCAGCGCTCATCACACGCCTTCCACTACCACTGTTGTCGCCTTCCACATCTGCCACCACACTGCCAATGTCACCACCACTGTCGCCACCATCTTCAACCATCACTACCTTTCACAATTGCCACCTACATTGCCTTCTAACTGCCACCTCCACCACCGTTGCTACCACCGCCACCCCTATTGCCTCCTTTCACCACCACCTCCTCCATTGCCTTCTACCATTATCCTTGCCACCACCATTGTCAATATTACCTCTGCTACCTTCCATCTACACGGCTATCACTACTACCACCGCCAATGCCCACCACCACCTACAGTACTATCGCCTGCACCACTGCCAACTTTTACCTCCACCGTCATTTCTTTTAAATATATATATATAACAATATTATCTTGTTAAACTAATTTATTTGTCAGTGAGATGAGTACTTTGGAGTATTCAATTTTTAAATTGTTTCAACAAAACATTAGAATAGTTATTATCATTTCATATTTGCAACCAAACAATAGAATGAGAATAATCATTCAATTCCATACCCATCTTGCATTCTTTTTCATTCATGCATATTAAACGCAACATTAGTTTTATTTTTTCTTGGATCTGGTCAATTAAAAAATAAAGAAATCACATTAAGACAAGAATTTCCATGCCGCCATTTTTTTCCCTCTCTTTATTCTCTCTTTTGTTTCTCTCAAATATTTAGAGAGAGATGCAATTGTTTAAAATCTTATGGTAATACTTGAAAATCATGTGCAGCCACGATCTTCAGTTGTTGAGTTTAGTTTTTTTATTTATTATTCTTTATTCTTTTTTTTTTCTTTTTCTCTTTAATATTCAGAGAGATATAATTGTGTAAAATTCTATTGTATTGGTTGAAAATCCTATGCAACCATTATGGGATCGTCAATTGTTTAAGTTTTGTTATTTTCTCTTTCATTATTTTAGTTCCAACATGTATATATTTTTTTGCAAGTACCATATTTATGGTAGGTGCTGTGTACAATAAATTGGTAATGCTAGTTTATGAAACTTACAGTTGTTTTGCTTGTATTAGGAAATGAGATTAGCTATTTTGCAATGTGACAGTAGATCAGTACAAGAGTCCTTATAATTTGTGTGGAGATAACTCTAGACGGAATTTAAAAAAAAAAAAAAAAAAAAATTTGAGAAAAACTTTAATTTTTCAATAAAAAATCACCATTAATAAATATAGATAATTACCATTAATAGAGTTTTGAGAAAGATTGAGGAACCTTGATTTTGAGAATCACCATTAATAAATATAAATAATTACCCGTAATAGAGTTTTGAAAAAAATTATGAAACCTTATTCTATTCAAAATTACCATTTATAATTATATATAATTACTATTAATATAATTTTAACAAAGATTATTATTTTTCTTTGGTGTGTGTGGGTAAAAAATTTCCATTTATAACTATATAATTCTTTAACAGGGTTTTGAGAGTATGTTAAACTAATCATCACCTCATTATCCTATATAAACTTACCTAGATAACCTGTTAGAATTTTCAGTCACAATTCCAACAATCTCTTCCTTGGTTAGAATTCACAAGTCTCAATATATCTACCATTTTTTACGTGTGCAGAGAACAATTGTTGGGAAAATTACTCCCCTTTTATCACGACTCACAAATATAGAAGGAGTGATGATAAAGAAAACAAGCACAAATCCACTAGACATGAAATTATATGTGGTTCGTCAAAACACACCTGCGTCCACAGAGAACCAGATTTCCACTAAAGATTGTAAACCGTGCAATATAAAAGATTACAAAGAGATGTCACTTACAAACCCTCAACCCTTTTGTACCCAATCACTCACAGGGAAATATTAAGTTCTAAACAAGAACTCTCTCACCACATAAAGTGTCCTCTCAAATATAATGAGAGTAAAAATTCTAGAACAAGAGTTTTTCCCAC